TTTTTAAAAAAAAAAAAAAAAAAAAAAAAAAAAAAAAAAAAAAAAAAAAAAAAAAAAAAACCTCAACAGCGTGTTCCAGATTGATCTTACTGATAGAAGTGGTTCAACAACTGCAATGATTTCCGGTGACGTCGCTGAAAAGATGCTCTCAATGACAGCAGAAGACATATTTGACACAACATGTGTCAAGGAATAAACTTAGACAATATTTATTTGTATTACTGCACTTTATACATGTTCTTAGTCTATCATTTCTGCCAAAGTTATATGAGTCACAATTGAATAATTTTTGCATTCAAAATTTTATTGTATGTACTTTTACATTACTTTCATTCAGCTTTGTTTTATCCGACACTTTAGATCTGAAAATTTGACTTTCTTCATTTTTAGAAACAACTCTTGTCCATTAATCATGTCCTGGACACATTTTCAGATAGAATCTTCAAAATTCAATTAAGAAAATCATCTTGGAAAAGTTTTGACTATGTGCGTACAGTCTATCAGTTTTGTCCTACGTAGAAAAGGAACATATCTTTGCACCAAAAATTAGCGAGAGAAGCCAAAAAAAGGTAAAGCCTCTAGGTACAAATGAAGTAAATGGAAGCAGCAGATGTGATCTCTAAATCTTCAAGCGCAGAGCTGAAAGCAAAAAAAAGTGTAAAATGTGAGTCTTTTTTAGGAATATATAGTTGAGATTTGCTTCTTTCCTCTGACTTCTGAATCGATATAATTATAATATAATGCAGTTCGACTTGTTTTTTTCTTTATTAAAATACGGAATGTCTTTCTTAAGCGCTGATTTATGCTTTCCAATTGCAGGAAGTATTGATCTTTTTTTTTGGATCTTTTGCTACTGTAAAAGAAAACCTTTTTTGGGCTCTTACATGAATGGTAAAGTCTCACTCCCCCTTCCCTACAAAGGAATTTTGTCGTAATGGTGATCGAACATTAAGAACTAGGGAGGACGATTGTGCTGGTTGTGAAAGTTTTTAGCCTCCTCAATGTTCCACAAATATAGGTAAAGCGCCATTTTTATAAAGTCACTTCAAACAAATTTTGCTTTAACCACATGAGATTAGTTAACCTCAATTTAAATTTGATGGTCATCTCAGTTTGGTTGTTAATAAATTTTTATCCTGCGGTATGAAATGTCAATATTTCAGTGGTGTCTCTTTGGTCTTTTTATAATTGAGAAGATGGCAATTTGATTATGTGATTTTTCATTCTCGTTTTGCTTTCACATGTATTGCAGTAATAATAATAAAGATACTCATATATGTGATTTTCCTAAAGCATGACTTGAAAAATATAATTTATATTATCATGGCCGCGTATCATGGCTCTAAATATGAGAATGTTTACTTCTTCGTACCATTATAGATGAAGAAAAATTACATCATTGCTCAAATAACTCTTATTACAGTATGGTATAGGTAAAAATATATGGTATGCGTCCAAAATTTAGTTATAACAATATCAACTGTTATACTCCTAAAACTTTATGAAAGTCAAAAAGTTATCATAATGAGCAATATGTGTTTAGCTATTTGCTAATGTCATATTGAAACGGAATCTTTCATTATCTTTTTTAGTGGTTTGAAGGATTGAGAATGAAAGATAAGTTGTGTAATTAACTGAAAATATGAAAAAGATATCTGCCACAGGAAGAGGCACACAATTAATTTCTACAAGGAAATACTATTTTAATTTGAAACTATCAGCAAGTAGTCAATTGGCAATATGATATTATATCTGTTAAAATTATCATCAAATGTCTTCTGCCCTAGCCTAAACACTTTTATGTGGAATTTTCCTGCAATACTTCTTCCAGTCAGTTTCTTCTAATGTGTTCCAGCTATACATCAATTTAACATTAAATGACTTCATATTTTAGTCTATATGAACATAAAATATTGTTGTTTTGATTATTATTTTTGGTTGAATAAGGACATGGACATCAGGAAACCTGACAAGAAATTTTTGCCCCTATATTATTTGTTGCCTTTTCCCAGTCACCTGACCATAAACCACCCATAGCTTTGTTCTGTAATAAGTGCAATTGAGTCTACCCTTTCTTGATTTTCTTTCTTAAAGTTGTGATTTTTCTTTGGATTTTGGATATGGGCATGGCTGTTTTAGGGGGAGAAAAGAAAAGTGTGGTAGTTAACTATACGCTGCAAATTTCCACTGTATACACACACACACTGAAGTTTGTACATATATTGTTATGAAGATATAGAGAGCATAGTTGAATGTCAAATTTACAGATTTAAGTTTTTGGATATGTTATTATTAATACTATAGTATAACTTTCCAAAGGAGATTAAGTTCAATACACGTCTACTTTATTACTCACTAATATCTATTTTTGCACTATACTCGATTTCATTTTCTTTTCTTCATTGGAGTTTACCTGCTTTTTTTCAGGTGTAAAGGGAAAAATATGATATGACACGTAGCTGACTAAAAGGAGGATACATGGAATTCAAGATGGGGTGGCTGAGTACCGAACGCAGTCACTCTGCTTGTCACCGGAAATGATAACTTTCATAAAGGTATATTAAATGCTCTGCGCCCGGTAGCATTTACTAAGGAATATTCTGTAGAAGTAAGAGTGACGGTCCGTTACAGAGAATTTGGCATTTATGTTCAACGTTACATCTTCATCAATGACCCTCATAATTGACATTAAAGGAGGGCATGATCGTAGGACCTTTTTCCTTAGACATAGCTATAAATAGTGAGCTCAGTTACCATTGTAAGGGACACGAATTTTCTGACTAAACTTACACTCTATTCTATACAAAGCTTTATACAATTTTACTTATTGCTTTTTAATCTCATCATCGTTGTGTCTGTGAACCGTATAATATTATTTCAAGATCAAATTGGTTCACTTGTCTAGAAATTACGTATAAATTCAACTGTATCGTTTTACAGGTAACTAGTTTGGCGCCCACCGTAGGGCCTAGACAGCCGTGCAATTAAATTAATCCTTGCCTTTTTTACTAACGTGTTTTGATTATTTTGTCTTAGAAAAAATCACAAAAAATGGCAGATAACATTGTTAACGATGGACATAACCTTGAAATTCGAGAGGATCATCCTCATTTCGAGGACTCAATCAGTGACACCCTCAATAAGGGGAATGACACCACGCCGGTGCATGACAGACGGTACCCTCGACGTGTTCGGGAGACTACTCCCGATAATGCTGATGAGGAGTATGTAGCGGATGCTGTAAGGATCCAATAAGAGTAACATGCTATCATTCTAGGCCTATCGGGGGCCTCGAATAATGCAAACAAACGAGATCTAATTCCTCCCATTGTTCCCGCAGACCAAATAACGCAGAGAGTCGACAACAACACTTCCAGGGGTGAAGTTGGCTCCGACGGGACTGGGGGGAGTAGATAAGGTCTTAACAACGAGAATGATCCATTCAAAGATGAGCTTTTATGGTTCATGAGGGAAGTAAACGCCCGCATGGATCAAATTCCGGGTGCACCACCAGTATTGAAAGGCCCGAACTTGAAGAAGTATGTTCAATTACCGTACAAGCCAAGTGCGGCACCAAAATTAATCCCAAAGCGTTTCAAAATGCCTGAAGTTCCAAAGTATGATGGAACTTCAGACCCACGGGAACATATTACCACCTACACAACGGCGGTGAAAGGAAATGATCTAGCTCCTCACGAAATTGAATATGTATTGTTAAAGAAATTTGGCGAAACTCTCGTGAGGGGAGCCTTAACGTAGTATTCATTACTGCCCGAGCATTCCATAGATTCCTTTGAGATGCTCGCGGATTCTTTCATTAAAGCTCATGCCGGGGACAGAAAGGTGCAAGCCCGGAAGGCCGACATATTCAGAACCACACAAGGAGAATCTGAATTATTACGAGAGTTTTTTACCCGATTCTAGAAAGAAAAAATGTTGCTCCCGGTCGTCTCGGATGAATGGGCACCTAAAGTATTCACCAAATGATTGAATCCAAGAAGTTCAGACGTTTCCTGTAAGCTGAAGGAGAGCCTGCTTGAGTTTCAAGCAACAACCTGGGCAAATGTTCACAACCGGTATGAGTCAGAAATAAGGATCGAAGATGACCAGGTTAGTTCTACATCATCGGCCAAACAACGGGAGAAGAACAGAGAAAAATCAAAGGATGACTACGATACGGATAGGCGTACTTCGATGGGCCGATTTTTGTCCTACGAGCGTACCGAAGGCCGTGGCAGAAATTTCTGAGCAGCAAACAAGTTCACCGTAGACAGAGGGATTGATCGTGGTCGAAACAATAGATCACTTGAAGATAAAGAAACGTCGGGGTCTCGAGATCTTTCTTACCCTAGGTTATCAGAGTATAACTTCAATGTCAGCATAGTGGAACTGGTGTCAGCCATGAGGAACATTAAAGAAGCATGATTCTCGAGATCTATGAGGTCTGATTCCAGCCAGAGGGATCCCAATTTATGGTGCGAATACCACGGGATGAAAGGTCACCAGACAGGGGACTGCCAACATCTTCGGTAGGAGGTGGCAACACTATTGAAGAATAGTCATCTCCGAGAATTCTTGAGTGATCGAGCTAAGAACAATTACGATCGCAACAGAGACAACACGGAATATTTGAAAGTAGGAGAAGAAACCCCATGCCAGACGATCAACATGATCTTTGGGGGGAACAAGATTAATGGGGTCACCTTTTCAGCGGCAAAGAAGACTAAAGTATCGATAACTCATAACAAAAGACTTCGGGAGGACAATATTACTTTCACGAAGGAATACGCAGACGGATTGTTGTTACCATACAACGACTCACTGGTAATCTCTTTAAATGTATTAGATTTTAAAAGTAAGCGTGTTCTAGTGGATCCAGCAAGTACGGTTAATATCATACAATGGAGAGCATTGGAACAAGCTAAACGCACCGGAAGCATTATTCCGACAACAAAACTCCTCGTTGGAATCAACCTTGCGATCGTGACGACCCGGGGAGAGATTTTGCTTCTCACGAACATTGAAGGAGTAATTAAAACAGCTCTCTTCGAAGTAGTGGATGGTGATATGGGATACAACATCATCTAGGAAGGCCATGGTTACACGAAATGAATGTTGTACCTTTGACATATCATCAATTACTGAAGTTTCCAATGCTCGAAGGAATCAAGCAAATAAAAGGTGACCAACCGGCATCAAGGAAGATGAATGCAATCTCAGTTTCCAGTAGCAAAGGGAAGGAGTGCACGACATAGCAATTATAGGAACCGACACCTACTCCCGAGTTAGAATAAGTTATTCCAGGGGTAGAGTTGTCAAAACAATATCAGGTGCCGAGATATTTCCAAGTTTCAAAAGATACGGACGTAACGAAATCCACGGCAGAGGAACTAGAGCAAGTGGCATTGTTTGAAGAATTCTTAGAAAGAAAATTTCACTTGGGTACAGGACTACATCCCGAGCTTAGGTCTAGTTTTATTGAATTTCTTAAAATTAACGCTGATTGTTTTGCATGGTCACACAAGGATATGACAGGTATCCCGACGGAAATAGCCGTGCACAAGCTGAGTTTGGATCCTAACGTAACGCCAGTACGACAGAAGAAGCCCCCTATTGTCGAGGCCAAGAATAAATTCATTAGAGAAGAGGTAACCCGCTTGATTAAAATCGGTTCGGCCAGATAGATATGATATCCAGACTGGCTAACCAATATAGTAGTAGTTCCTAAGAAGAATAATAAATTTCGTATGTGTGTAGACTATAGAGATCTTAATAAGGCGTGCCCAAAAGATTCGTTTCCTCTGCCAAATATCAATCAAATGATTGATGTCACGGCCGGGCACGAGTTGATGAGTTTCCTCGATGCTTATTTCGAGTACAACCAAATCAAGATGAACCCAGAAGATCAGGAAAAAACTTCATTCATAAAAAATTTCGGTACATATTGCTACAATGTAATGCCCTTCGGGTTGAAAAACATCGGAGCCACTTATCAATGACTCGTAAATAAGATGTTTGAAAAACAAATAGGAAATATTATGGAGGTTTATATAGACTATATACTCGTTAAGTCTTTGAATGCAGGTGACCATCTTAAATATCTACAAGAAACATTCGACATCCTGAGGAAGCATAACATGAAACTTAATCCTGAGAACTGCGCGTTCAGGGTCAGTTTTAGTAAGTTTCTGGGATTTCTGGTCTCGCAGGGGGGAATTGAGGTAAACCCCGACAAAATCAATGCCATAGAGGATATCCCAGATCAATTGTCGAACGTAAAAGAAGTCCAAAAACTCACAGGAAGGTTAGCAGCCTTGAGCGGGTTCATTTTTCGGTCGTCGAAAAAATATCATAGCTTCTTCACATTACTCAAAAAGAAGAAGAATTTCGAATGGACACCGGAGTGCCAGCAGGCTCTCAGGGACCTGAAGAAGTACTTATCAAGCCTTCCATTTCTTTCGAAACCAAAAGAAGGTGAAACATTGCTAGTCTACCTTGCGGTTTCAGAAGATGCAGTAAGTGCAGTTTTGGTCCGGGAGGACGAAGGTACGCAATTTCCCATTTATTACGTTAGCAAAATTTTAGCGGGAGCAGAAACTCGCTACCCACATTTGGAAAAACTAGCCTTAGCTCTCATAGTTGCCGCTCGGAAGCTGAGGCCCTATTTTTAATGCCACCCAATAGATGTGGTGACTACTTTCCTTTGGCCAAATGGGCCGTCGAAATAAGTGAATTCGATATAGAATATAAATTGAGGACTGCAATTAAGTTACAAGTCTTGGCTGACTTCGTGGCCGATTTTAGTCAGGAACTGCTATCTCTGGTAACCAAGGAGGCAGTAATGGTGTCGGAATCAACATCAGGAGTTTGGACCTTATTTATAGATGGAGGCTCGAACATAAAAGGGCCCGGGCTCAGAATACTTCTAACCACGCCTTCGGGGAAAACCTTAAGGCAAGCCATCAGAATGATCCCTTTAACTAATAATGAAGCAGTGTGTGAAGCTTTGATTGCAGGGCTCGAATTGGCCCAGAGACTTGATTCCAAGAATCGAAATCAAATGTGACTCACAACTGGTGGTAAATCAGATTTACGAGATATTTGATACCAAAGAAGAACGTATGCAACAATACGTGGTAAAGGTCGGGGCCCTTCTGGCATGATTTCGGGAGTGGTCAATCACTCATATCCCGATAGAGGATAATGCAGAAGCGGATGCATTAGAAAACTTAGGTTCATCGACGGAAATAAAGGGATTGGAGTTCAAAACGGTGGTACAATTGATGAGCTTAGTCCTTGATACAGATTGTTATTATGAGCTAAATTCGGCTAGTCTGGTCTTGGACTGTAGAAATGAAATAATCAACTACCTCGAGCACGAAAATTTGCCCGATTGTATATAAAGTCTTTCCAAGGCCCGCTGGCCCAGTGCTTAGGAGCATCAGAAGCCAATTATGCTATGAGAGAAATCCACGAAGTGATTTGCGGCAATCACTCAGGCGCAGATTCTTTGGTGCTGAAGTTGGTACGGGCAGGATATTACTGGCCTCGCATAGAGCAAGACGCCAAAGATTTTGTATGAAAATGTAATAAGTGCCAACGCTACGCATCACTAGTACATCAACTGGCAGAACCCTTACATTCGGTTTTGTCCCCATGGCCATTCATAAAATGGGGGATGGACATCGTCGGACCACTGCCACCGGCTCCCGAAAAGGTAAGGTTTCTTTTAATTTTGACTGATTATTTTTCTAAATGGGTGGAAGCAGGTTCCTATCAGTAGATCGGAGAACGCGAAGTGGTCGACTTCCTGTGGGAAAATATAATTTGCAGGTTCGGAATA